TGATGAGGGCAATGAATGTACAAATGTGCTTTACACAATTGATGTATGTATGGATTGTGATAAGAGTTGTATGAGCCCCTAATAAAACAATTAAAAAAAAAAAAAGAATAGCTCCTGGGATCTTAAAGGCTGGTCTTAAAATAAGAAGCAGGTAAGGAATCAGCTAAGTCCACTTGCGATCCAAGAATTGGAAATAAAATCCAAAACCAGAAGAATTCTATTAGATCTTAAATTTTGATCACCCAATTTGTAGATGGCTATGAATTATAGTGAAAGCCCAAAATTCATTCAGAGTCCCCTAGTGGATTAAGACTTCTGCTTTCTTTTGGACTGAGGTTTTCTTTTGTTGTTGAATTTTAAAAAATGTGATTTTCTTTATATGAAATCCAGGATAGCTAAATATTTAGAGGCAGTAACTAGATTAATAGCTCCTTACGGTTAGGATAGGAAGGTTACGGGAAAACTGGGAGCTAATAATAATGAATACAAGAATGAAGAAAATGATTTAAAACTGACTATATGACAATCGAACAACTCTTTTAATATACTTAAAACAATTGAATTGTATGTATATGAACTACGTGTCAATACAGTTAAATACAAACAGTAAAAAAATAATATATTCATGGCTATATCCTTAACTTCACATTGATATATTCATATATACTCACACATATTTACATTAATGAAGGCAAAAAACATATACAAACCACCGATTTCTGACCTCACATTTGGTGTGTGTTTCTCATTGACCTTGCATTGTATATTTACTTTTTTTGGTAAAAAAAGGTGGGTGAATTTTCTTATTTCCAGAATGTGTAAGACATTTCTGGTTTATTTTTTATGTCATTTACTCTAAGGTAACCTTATATGGTAAAACTTCACAGTAGGTATTTTATTAGCTGTATGTGATAGCCCAAAACAGACCATGAAGAACAATCCACACCAATAGTGCAGAGGTGAAAAACTTGTTCACACCTTACATTTAAGATAAAATTGAATCACATTTTAAAAATATACTTAATGCTATCTTTAAGAAAGAATTACTCTAGGGAGTCAGAAATCCATCCTTACTCCTTTGGGTCGAATGCAGTTTCCTCATTCTTCATAGAGAAAAGTCGAATATCTGATTAATTCTGATACAGATCCATAGATGGCCTCAAAATCTGTTACATCCATTGAAACAAAAGTCTACATACATATCAAGTGAAATCTTAGGAAATCTACTCTTATAAGTAACCACAGAGATTTTTACAAACCTTCGTGAAGTCTGCTGGACACCAGCTCACAGATGTGACCTCTTGTGAATGACCCAGGAGCATAGTGGGAGGATGCCAAGGGGTAGAGACCTAAACGACAATCAAAAATAAACCAGTTAGAGCAGCGTAAGGTCTTCCAGATATGAGGCTCCTCTCTGTTTGTCCTTTAGCGCTATTACCTAAGCCCCTAGAGAAAGTTATAATTCAGATGAATCCTAATGGATAAAAGTACCATTTCTTAAAAAAAAAGTACCAATTTTTGTGACTGACCTGAGTAAACAACAAAAAGAGCCAGAATAAGTATGTAATAACATGAGTCAATATACAGCGAGTTAACATATCAGGACAGGACTCATTTCAAATCAGAGCTACCTAGCTATACATATTTTGATTAATGTTCAAGACTGGCACTGTCTCTCTCTCCTCTTAGTTGGTAAGTTTTCATGTAACCAAACCCAAGCTTGTTGCCAGTGAGTTGTTTCAAACTCACAGCGACCCTATAGGGCAGAGTAGGGTTTCCAAGGTTGTAATCTTTATGGGATCAGACTCATCTTTCTCTCACAGAAAGATAGTGGGTTCAAACTGCAAAACCTTCAGTTAGCAGTCTGGTGCTTAATCACTGAGCCCCTAGGGTTCTTCAGCTGCTAGGCAGTGGATATCAAATGAACACCTTAAGTTTTATTCTTACAGAGCCCAAACATTTTCAGGTCTTCTTTAGTTAGCTACTTTCAGAAACACCAAATCCTGAAGCAACCTGAGACATGTTCTGTCTCCCAAAAGACATTTGAACATTTTACAAAAATTCCACATTATTCCCTGCCATCCTAAATAAGTATGCTGCTGTCGTGGAACTGATTCGGACTCAAGGAGACTCCATGTGTGTACCCCATAGGCTTTTCTAGGTTCTGACCTGATTGCCAGGGCTGCTTCCCAAGGTCTCTCTGGATGAGCTCAACCTGCCAATCATTCAGCTAGTAGTCAAGCTCCTAACTGTTTGCACCGGACAGGGGCTCCTTGAAGGGTTATAGGCTATATTTTATGTGGGACCTTGGTATTCTTCCTGGGGGGAAAGATCCTCTAAACTTTTTAGTGAATTTAAGAAATTCTCAAGTTCCACAGATGTATGCATTTGTGTACACACACACACACACACACACCCTACTCCTTGCAGCATGTTATTATGTAAAAATTGGTAATTAGATCAGTGGTTCTCAACCTTCCTAATGCCACAACCTTTTAATACAGTTCCTCATGTTGTGGGGACCCTCCCCACAACCATAAAATTTTTTTCATTGCTACTTCATAACTGTAATTTTGCTACTGTTATGAATCGGCCGACCCCTGTGAAAGGGTCATTCAACCCCCAAAGGAATCGCGCCCCGCAGGTTTAAAACCATTGTATTAGATGAAAATGGACAATGGCCAAATTATTACGAATTGCCAAATTACATCTTAACTGGCAAACCACTGAGAATCATAGCCCAGCTGAGTGAACACTTAACACAGCCAGTGTTACATTCATCACTGCCAGATAAATGTCATTAATGTGGTTTTTTTAACTAGTTATACATCTGTGATGTTGGATAATGAGAGTTGGTAAGTGTATATAAATCTGCATACTCACACAATGTATAAAAAGGGTCACACTGTTCAGTACTACATGTGACTAAGATTCGGTTTTCCCTTGGTCAGATGCCACTAGTGATATAGCTTGGACAGTCTTGTACAACTGACTCATTCAAGAGCTATCAATCTTTTCACAGGACATGAGAATTAATCGGCACAATATGGAGTACAACCTCATAACTATTATTAGCATGTGGATTTAGAAAAAGTTAGGTGGGGGCTGAGTGGAATTATTCACTCCATTCTCCTGAGGCTCTGAATCATGGCTCATTTGCATGAAGAAAGTGGATACAACTCTGGCAAGATTCGTGAGAATGACTGAAGTGAAGTTAATAGATTCCTCAAATTGTCATTAAGAGATTTGACAAGCTGATTCATCAGGTTATCTAACTTAATTACTATCACTCCTCTCTTGGGTTAAATGGCATACATGTAATAATTCAAAAAAGTCAAAGAGTAGAGTCTAATTTGCTTTGATAGATTAATGGAAGTTTAACTGAAGTGAAATAAGCACTATGTACCAGGATCTCACTTACTGCTTACTCCTACAATGCCAGAGAGATACCAACTCATTCTCTCAAATGGAAGCATATTAAAAAATATTTTTTTTCTGAATACTGCAATAATTAGAGATAACCACTTCTTCCTCCATTTGGGATGACTCTAATACATTAAGTTTCCCATCACACCAGGCAGGACTGGGAGCAGCATGTTCAAAGGGAGAGGAGGGAATGATGTCCTCGGGCCGCTCCAGGGTAGAACATTCTATTCTACTCCATTGGTTCACCTGCTTGTTCCCTCTAGCTTTTCAAGAGACTGACCCTTCCTCAGTTTTTCTATTACAATACGTAGGAGATTCTAAATGTGTACACAAAGAATGAAAATAAGTTTCAGGAAGAACCTAAATAGTCATCACTAGATTCATGCTCATTTCTCTATCTCCCATAGGAACTGAGAGGAAACTAGTAATGACAATAAAAGCTACAATGTGTTGAGTACTTCATTTACCATGAGATAAGCACTTTATGTGAAGTTAAAAGTGGGAGGTACTTCTTAAAAATTCAAAGATAGTATTGACGGCTGACCCAGTAATTCTACCTATAGCTATATATATGAATGGGCTTCAAAAATTTGTGGAAAAGTGGAGTTGAAAGAAACAGATTTCTTCCATGAACTTCTTTGAAGTCTTCTCAAATGTTCCCAAGAGAAATGAAAACACCTGTCCATTAACAAATCATGTATAGATGTTCGTAGCATCTTTGTTTATAATAGCCAAAAAAAAGCAAATAATCCAAATGTCCATGAGCTGATGAATAGATAATCTAAAGATGGTCTACTCAAGCAATGATTTTATTCAGCCACAAGAACAAAATGAAGTACTGATGTATGAATGAGCCCTGAAAATATTATGCTACATAAACGAAACTAGCCACAAAACAGCACACATTGATTCCACTTATATGAAGTGCCTGGGATAGAGAAATCCATAGACAGACAGGGTATATGAGGGGGTACTCCCCAAAAACCGGAATGGTGCTAGATGGAGTGGAGCTTTCGTAGTATGCATTTTTCCACTAGGCGAGCTTTGAGCAACTTGCTCTAAGTTAGTGCAGCCAGTGGCATCGCCTGGGAAGGTTGTGTATCTTTTTGTAAAAGCAGTTTCGCTTGAACCTCATTTTTGGTGATGGCTGATTTAAGAGAACAGCATGCAGCTATGAAATGTTTCCTGCTCAGGAAAAATGCTGCAGAAACTGTCGTGATGTTGAACACAGCTTACAAGGACAGCGCTATGGGAAAAACTCAAGTGTATGAGTGACTTTCCCCTTTCAAAAAAGGTGAAAAGTCAATTGATGACTAATCTCATTCTGGATGTCCATCAACTTCACAAATGGACAAAAAATGTCAACTTGTAGTACATTTGGACTTTGTTCCACCAGCTCAGACTGTTAATCAGACTTTCTGTTTAGAAGTTCTGAAAGATTGCATAAGTATGCAACAAAAAAGGCCTGATTTGTGGCAGACGGGGGACTGGTTTTGCCACTAGGACAATGCACCTGTTCATGCAGCCATCTCCGTGGGCCAGCTTTTGGCAAAACCCAGCATGCCTCTCTTGCCCCATGTAGCTTACTCCATGCAACCCTTCTTGTTTCCGCAAATGAAGAGGGACATGAAAGGACAGTGATTGGATGACATAGAAGAGGTGAAGAAAAATGAGGAAGGTGCTGTCAGCCATCCAAATAGATGAGTTTGAAAAATGTTTCCAAGAATGGCATGGCAGATTTGAAAAATGTATTAAGTGTAATGGAGAGTACTTTGAAGGTGATAAGGTTGTTTTATACAAAATTTAAATTCATAGCTTTGGAAAAAATTTTCCCAGTGTTTTTGAATACCCCCTCACAGTTTGGGAGCTGCCAAGGGTTGGGGGCATGTGGGGGAAGATTACAGAGTGATGGCTAACAGATTTCTTTTCAGGGTGTTGAAATATTCTGGTTTTACACAGTGGTACTGGTTGCTCAATATTGTGACTATACTAAAAAAATTGAATTGTATTCTTTAAAATGGTGAATTCTGCATTATGTGAATTCTATTTCAATTTGAAACCAAAAAAGGTAGAGGGACATGTTGTGAGCTAAAATGTCGGTCAAGATTTTATAAATTTGAGACATGAATGCTTTGACACACAAAACTACTATAGCGTATAGTACTTAGTGACTCCTAGCTGCTAACCACAAGGTTAACAGTTCAGACCCACCAGCTGTTCTGTAGAAGATGAGTCTGTTTCAGTAAAGATTTAGTCTCATAAACCCTAGATAGGGTCACTATGGGTTGGAATCAATGCTATGGCATTGAATTTGGGTTTTTAATGAGACTAGGGTGACTTTACAATCCTTTTTCGTTGATATGTTTATCTATTGCCACTTCATTTGCTAAAACAAAAAAATTTCATAGGATTTTGATTTTTTTAAAGCCTCCCCCACTTTTGAAGTAGAAAGAAGAAAATGAGAGGTTCAAAAGACTTTTAGGGGCTCCAAAGTATTTGGGGACTTGTCAAACACAAAAGGTTTTCTCTCTTACATGTTAAAAATATGAAAGAAATCAAGATGTTAATAGAGGGCATGGGGAAACCCAACATCCACCCTCATAGGACTACGAAGGCTCTAACTTAGAGGCCACATAACAGTTTGGATATTTAAACATGCCAGGAAGTTCAGCACCTTTGTGGACAAAATCTTAGTCTGCCCAGTTGGAATCCAAACTTAATCTTTCTTGTGGTCATGTCAGGCTCCACATTTTGCCAGTCAGTGGTGGAATAACTGCCAAATCAGCTTATTTATAACCACTTCAATGCTGTTCAGCAATTGTCAGAAATGAACCGGGCTATGACACTTAGAGGAAAATTGAAGAGAGTTTAATATTAAAACCTCTCTTAATTTTTAGTCTTGAGAGCCTAAATCTACTTTATCTGCCCTTTGTGGAGCAGTGGTGAGGATTAGAATTTGAAATCCCCACCTTCCATTCTGTTTTCTGGTGTCAACACTTGAGAGAGTTCTGATCTCTTGGGCATGTGGCAGTTACAAGACAATGCAACAGCCTGGACATTCCAATTGCAAGGAAATTATTTTAAATGATAGGTCCCTTCCTTTTAAAATACAACAAATCATAGAAAAGAGGACTAAAAAAATAAAATTAAATTAAAAAAATATAAGAGGACTAGTCACCAGTGGTGCCACTAGTGTGAAACTGTATTTGGTGACAGTCAGAAGGGTGACACTAAAATGATGACCTACAAATTTCCATGTAGCATTTCAGCATAATATTAAGTTTTCATAAAATATCCCTGCAATTATTTTCCCATAAGCTCAACTTGTGTGTAGCAGTATACCTATAAAGCTAAGAGCCTCTGCTCACTTACTTTTTGAACCTTCTAGTATGCTCTCTTCAGACTGTCATCGTTACTCAATTACAAAGACGTTTTGAATCATGTGGGTTAGTCTGCACATACTTCAAGAACTCGATGTTTTGTGTTGCTACTGGTGGCTTTTCTGGTTTTAGTTACAATATTGTGGTCGTTAATATTTGAGGCCCTAAACCAATAGCTTTATTGCGAATGAAGTAGTAATTAAAGAAAAAGGAAAGTCAAAAAGCCCTCTGCTTAGTTACCAATAATGCTCTAATTAAAAGAGGAAATAGCTACAAACACTTTGTTGTTAGTATTCATATTATCTAAGACATATTCCATATAAGCAATTTAAACTAGATCACACACTATTCTTTTACTTTCACATATTAATCTATGAATAAAATTGATTATAAAGGTTACGAAGAATTCTGTATGGTCTGGTAGGCTGAGGTCTGTGTGGGAGCAGGGGAACACCAAGTCTTCCCACCACGCTGACATGCACCCAAGAGACGCACGCCACTGTGAGCCACCTCACTAGGCAAAGTCAATTTTAGGAGCAGCAAGCTCACCAGGTTCTCAAATGTCAGAGGCTGTTCACTGAGTTATGTGTGGACAGGCAGGAGAACATCATGTCTGACCCACGTCATTCAGCACTGATGTGTGACCCAGCAGAGGAATTTAGAAAGGGTCACACATCAAGTGGTGGCCACTGATTGGATGTCTAAAATGAATTATGAGCAGGTGCCAAGTACTTTTAGTGTCTTTACAGGGAGGAAGTATTCCCTCAATGCTCATTCCCACCAACCAACCAACCACACAAAACGTTTTTCGTGTTAAGAGAAGAGGGCTAGAGGAACTTTAAGAATTGATAAGGAGAACTCTATGTTATAAAAAATTACATATATAATTAAGTATGTGTAGTTAAAACTAACATGAATGATAGGTTTACTCAAAATATTTCATTATGTGTATTTTGTATGTTACAATTCATTTGGATTATTTTAAATAAAAGGTTTTTCTTTTGTACAAAAAATCTTTAAAAGACAACTTTTTGTAGGAATAAAGATTAGCTAAATTGGAGTGAAAGAGAGACAATGTGAGAAGGGAAACTCAAAATTAAAAACTATAAATACAGAAGCATCAAGTGAAAAGAATTTGAGAGAGAAGTTACTATATACACTCATGTATAAGCTGAGTTTTTCAGCACAATTTTAATACAGTCTTTGTGGTAAAATTAAATGCCTTGGTTGATATTTGGGTCAGCTTATACTCCAGTATATAAGGTAGGTAAAAAGTTTCATACCAAGATGAGAATTTAAGGATATATACTTTATAAGGGAAATTTCATTTGAAAAGAAAACAATTATATTTGTTAAAAAAAAAAAAAAAAGAAGTCAGCAACATAAAAGCAACACAGAGAACAATTAACTCCCTCTAGGGACCAAAAGTTTTATTGGTAGTGTTGTACTTTTGCAACTCTAGGTATAAAATAATTTTAGTATCTCTCCCAGTACAGAATGAAATTAAGAAGGATCAATTATGTTCCATGTCAGGTAAGTTTAACTTTTTCCCTATGATAACATGAAGGATGTAACTTCCCTGGAGTTTGCAGGACTATAGATACATACCTTTATAGGGAGAAGTAAGGGGTGTGATAATATTGAAACTATGGGCCTATACAATTTTTTATATTATGACTCTGAAACAAAATGTAGGTACCCCATTCATTAACCTCACCACGGTCAAGGATATTTACGGAATCACAGGGAAGCCTAGAAGATACTCAACTCTTAGCCCTCGGTCAACAATGTCTGAATATTAACTTTCGACTCTACATTGAGTGTCTCCCTCAAGGCACACACTCAACAGATGCGGACTTTTAGTGTCATCATTATTCCTACCTTAAAAGTCTTTTTTTTTTTTTAGTGGCCAGCAAGTCCTATTCATTGTATAAACATCTCAATTTTCTTTACTGGGCTTCGAACTTTAAATTTCTTGGCTTATAGAAGTCATTTTAGAATCAGTTATTTAGAAAGTTTCAAAAAATTACATAATAGAGGAACATAAAATTGATAAAAATTGAGACAAGTATTAAAGGAATGCTATTAAATATATTTTAAAAATTGATAAAATAGTCAAACACATTTTAGTAGCCCGAATGACTGTCTTATGTAAGGCCGTGTGGGAATAGGGCCAAAAACATTGCATTTTGTTTACGTTTGAAAACAAAGGGCAGTAGACCAGAGGAGGTACACTGGTACAGATAGGAACTGAAAATCCAGGGAATCCAGGACGGATGAGCCCTATAGGACCAGTGGTGTGAGTGGCGAAACAGGGAGGGTAAAGGGAGAATGGGTAGGAAAGAGGGAACCGATTACATGGAACTGTGTGTGACCTCCTCCCTGGGGGACAGACAACCGAAAAGTGGGTGAAGGGAGACGTCGGACAGGGCAAGATATGACAAAATACCCATTTATAAACTATCAAGGGCTCATGTGGGAGCGGGGAGCGGGGAGGGAGGGGAAAAATGAGGACCTAATGTCGGGGGTTTCAATGGAGAGAAAATGTTTTGAGAAACGATGTACAAATGCGCTTTACACAATTGATGTGTGTATGGATTGGGATAACAGTTGTATGAGCCCCTAATAAAATGTTAAAAAAGAAAAAAAAAGAAAAAAGAAAACAAAGGGCAGAAAGGACAAGGTAGTATGGTTTTCTGAGCACCAAGATGAAGTACTTGAGGCCCTAGACACGTTTCTGCATCTTCACATTCCTGAGACTCTGTGAAACTGTGGGAGGCTGTGGATATTGACTTCTGATAATCTCTGAACAGAGAGCATCACATATTTCGTAACAATCAGAACGAGGTTTTGGCCATAGTAAGAGCCAGGAAGCAACCTGATGTAGAAAAGTTGAGAGAATGTACGGTATTAAATTCACGTCCTCTTAAAGATGGCAACTCACCCTCCAGATGTAGGCAGCTTCGTCACTTGAACCGCTGACTAAAAACTGGTCATCTGGACTAAGACTGGCTTTCACATAAAAGGTAGAGTTCAGGTGTCCGCTGAAGGAAGCCACTGCAAAAGAAAATAACCCAAATATCTGGCTTTTATTTCCAGGATTCAAATAAATGAAAGCAACATATGTGTCCTATCAAGTTTTATTATTGTATTAACTATCAAAGCAGATGGCCAAGCTATAACCAAAAGTAACCAAACACTGCCATTGAGTCTCTCACAACAACCCTAGGAGCTGAAAGCCTCCTCTTTCTATTTCAAGGAGGCTGGTGGTTTTGAATTGCTGACCTAGCAGTTAGCAGTCAAACAACTATGCCACCAGGGGTCCTTGGCCAAGAGATCATCACCAAATAAAAGGGGCCTATCCATTGGCAGAATAATAACTATAAAAAGAGATTACGCAATAGACCCAATCTCAGCTGACATGCTTGGTGTGGAGAAGGCTGAAGAGAGGAATGTTATGATAGGACAAGACAGGACAGATACCCAACTCAGGGTTGGGCTCTTTTGACTGCATGACATGTTTACTTCCCCTTAAAACGTCAAAAGCTTTAAGGATAAATTGCTATTCTAGTCTTTCTTCCAGAGTCTAGGGGGCATGGTGGTTATGTGTTCTGCAGCGATGTGCAAGGTCAGCAGTTTGATCTGAGGGAGAAAGATGGGGCTATCTCCTCCGGTAAAAAATTACAGTCTTGTGACAGGGCCGGGCCCAAGCCGAGCTATGTTGACCCTCTCCCCAGAAGAAAGTAATACAGAGGACAGCACTGGAGAGATAGCCCGGGGAGAGGTGTGGGTCTGTCCAGAGCACACGGTGCGAACTAAGAGGAAAAAAGAGAGAGAGAGTGAACCTCATCATGGCTCACCAAGCCCTGAGGATGACATCCCTGCTCGGAGCAGCCAATGCAGAGAGAAGACCGTTGAGCCAGCCCACAAGACATGACATTCCCTCACTGATCTATAGCACTATGGGGGACAGCACTGGAGACACTGCAGAAAGTGTGCCCAGTCTGCCCCATGCACAGTGGGGTGAAATGCAAAGGGCATGCTACAGGGCAGCCAAGTAACCAAGTCCTGGAAGAATCCTGAAGATTTTTTGACTCGGGGGACAGGGCTTGGCACCTCATCAGACGCGAATGGAAAACACTCCTAAGGTCAGCAGACAGACCTGGAACTATCACCTATAGCACCGCCCCCCCACCCCCCCATATGTCCTATGTCTATCTATGTAAGATAGGCAGGACAAACAATCCTGAGGAGAAAACAACAGGACCGCTGGTCCCAGGTGTACATGGGAGAGGATGGGGCGGGAAGTAGGAGCAGGGAGCCAACAAACTCAGGGATGAGGGAAGAACAAGAGATATAGAAATGATGGTGAGAAGGCCTGGTGGAGTTTGATCAAGTGCAATGTATCCAAAAGGAATTACTGAGAGCCGAGTGGAGGGTGAGTATGATAGTGGGGCAGGAGGGAAGGTGAAAGGAAATAAGAGGAAAGAAGTAGGAAGCAAAAGCTATTTATAGAGCTATCACTATAGGCATGTATATATGTAAATATATTAATTTATAATAAAAGAGATAGAAGCCAATGTACATATATTTATATGTTAAAGTATTAAGATAGCAGATGAACTTTGGGCCTCAACTCAAGGCCTCCCTAAACCAAGAACACTTTGTTCGAATAACCTGGCACTCTTTGATACTCATCTTCCTGATCACTGAAGACAAAATGGGTGCATAAGCAAATGTGGTGAAGAAAGTGGATGGTGCTCAGCTATCAAAATATATAGCATCTGGGGTCTTAAAAGCTCGAAGTTAAACAGCCATCTAACAGGGAAGCAAATGAGGCCACAGGGAAGATGCACATCAGCCTGTATGATCATGAGGTATTGACAGGATCAGGTATCAAAAGATCCAAAACAAACAATTATATGGATGTGAATGAGGGGGGTTAGAGTGGAGACCCAAAGCCCATCTGTAGACAATTGGACATCCCACCCCAACCCCCCCGAAGAGTTACAGGAAGGGACAATTCAACCAGGGTACAGTATAGCACTGGTGAAACACACATCATTCCTCTAGTTCCTGAATGCTCCCCCCCCCCAACTACCATGACCCAGTTCTACCTTACAAATCCAGCTAGACCAGAGCACACAGATTGGTACAGATAAGAGCTCTCAACACATGGAATTCAGGACAGATAAAACCCTCAAGAACAGTAGTGGGAGTAGTGATTTCATGAGAATAGGGGGAAGGTAGGGTTGGGGGGGTGGGGGGGAAAAGAGGGAGAACCCATCAGTTGGTTGGTTACATAGCCCTCCACCCAGGGGGACGAATAACAGAAATGTGGGTGAAAGGAGACAATGGACCATCTAAGATATGAAATAACAATAATAATATATAATTGACTAAAGATTCACGAAGGTGGGAAGGGAGGGGAGGGAGGGGAAAGAAGAGGAACTGATACCAAAGGCTCAAGTAGAGAGAAAACGTTTTGGAAATGTTGATGGCAACATATGTACAAGTGTAGTTAATACAACTGAAGGCTGAGTTGCCATAAGATTCGTAAGAGGCCCCCAGTAAATCAGTTTTAAAAAAAATGCAGTCTTGAAAACTCACAGGGGCAGGTCTAAACTGTATTAAAGGGTCACTATGAGTTGGCATTGACTCAATTGCAGTGAGTCTTTCTTTAGCAGATGTGATAGTGCTTTGAATAGTGTAGATTCTCAAATGTTTGTTGTATAAATATGTAGAACTCAGTGAAAAGAACCACTTGAATTCTGGTTAAGGCTTCTTGATAGCCAAATGGGTTTCTATTTTTATACTAAATGGGATTTTAAATCCAGCACTTTATATTGGCTACTGATGGCTGAAATGGCCAATGGAATAAACTATACACTTACTCCAAATAGGTTAGGGTTAGCTTTCAGGTTTAGAATTCTCACTAGGCACTACATGGGGCAAACAATCTGAGAAATTGTGTGCTTGACAGGTTCTTTTATACTAATGAGGCCAAAACGTGAGGCACTTGGCATCAGAGTAGTACTGAGAAGTACAAAAGCAAACTCTTAGTTAGTGGGAGAGAATTTATGGATGCATTTACATTTTTAGCAGGAAAAATAAACAAGACACATCCTAAGCTCCTCAATGAAGAAGAGAAATATTAGTAAGGGACTTAGCTTTAATTGCACAGAGGTTCCTTCCTTCTGCCAGAATAAGCTGGAAAATAAGTTTATATTTACAGGTTTTAAAGAAAAAGCCTGTATGTCTAATACTTCCTCACATGAGACACTTGTACTGTCAAAGTGAAGCTGGGTGTGGACCAATTCAGACTACTCATAGGCTTTCCAGAGTAGACCCACAGAATAAACAGATAGATCCTTTATTCTAAATGCTATTACAAAACTATAGTTGTTACTCTTCCTTAGTTTTAACCTATGAATAAAAAACTATGGATGGAATTTCCCACTAAACTTATAAGTATTTATTGCCCTCTGCTGGTCTCAGAAAGGTTGGTATGATGTATTTTATAAATGTTTCAATCGTCACTAAAAACCTTGCTGAAACTTTTACTAACTTTAATTACTTCAAATGAATCTTTGATGATTTGTGCTCCTAAAGTGCTCCACCATTATGAACATCACTTAGTGTTATATAATTCTGTGAATAAAGTGTAAGAGATCAAATATTAAGCCCACAACTGTATGTTTAAAATGAAGTATTAGACTGGGGCTTGCTTTCTTCCTCATCATTTCATTCCACTTCTATGCAGCAATATCCATCCATCCATCCATGAGAACCAATCAAATTATTTCAGGAGCTCAGAAAATGGCTACTACATTATTAGTTATGTAGACTGGGGCATATTTGTTTGATGGCAGAAGAACAAAGTTAATTGAAAGCCCCTTTTAGTATAATGCTACATAGCAAAATGTTATAGAAACAGCTTTTGTATACGTGAAACATAATCAGAAACCTAGGAAATGATGTTAAGAAACCTTTTCCCTTTCCCAAATACTCTCTTGTTAAGAGTATTTAAATACCACACCTAATACCAGTCGTGATACTGCCACTGATATGAGAGTCCTTGTCATAAGTTCAATATTATTTGGTGGTTTCTTGTTTGATAGTTAACTGATAATAAATAGTCTTAGAAAGCAGTGAAACGGAAACCATTCTCTAAAAGCGTGCTTGAAGTTTAGAGCCATTCTATGACTTTTCAAAAATGTCATTTATTAGTTCTTTTTTTTTCTTTTCCTTTTTTAACATTTTATTAGGGGCTCATACAACTGTTATCCCAATCCATACACACATCAATTGTGTAAAGCGCATTTGTACATTGTTTCTCAAAACATTTTCTCTCCATTTAAACCCCCGACATTAGGTTCTCATTTTTCCCCTCCCTCCCCGCTCCCCACTCCAGTTCTAAGTATTAGATTCTATTTTTAACTTGAGACAAAAGGTACAAAAGGTGAGAGTAGGGAAACATTTAAAAGAGATAAAATGGTCTGACCAGCATTAAGGAAGAGGCTTGGGTAGGCTCGGGTTGTTGGGGGCTAGAAAATGCATTCCTCAACTTTAACCAACAATCTCCAAGCAGGACAAAAATGACCAGAACTGCCCTCTATTCCACAGCTTATGGAACCAAAAACTGAGATCATTCTAAGCATCGCCAGGAGAGACACACTGTGAAAATCAAAGTCAGTGTAGAGAAGAGAATCCTGATGACTTGATGAAATGAACACACAGGCAAGTACAACGCAGGCAATGTCATGGGAACTAATCAAAGGTCCCAAAGTCTACGGATGTCAGAAGAAGATTGATTAAGGGAGAAAACAACAACAACAAAACCCCCAACATTACCAAAAACACCTATTAGCTTTCCATTAAAAGAAACTGTGGCTTATCTTACCTGGAGAAGTCTTCAACCCAGTCATATTGAACATATAGATGTGGTCATCAGTGCAGCTAGCAAATAAAGTAGAGGCAGTGGAGTCCAACACCAGGCTAGAGTACCCTAAAAAAGAAACCTTTCCGTAAGCAGATGCTGATGACAGTGAGTAGACCTGAGGCTAATTGCTAATTGTGGAAACAAAATTAAATCATTCCATGGGAAGAATCATTAGACTCCGGCCCCCACCCCCCCAAATACATATAAACTAAAGACAGTCTTCTGAGTTCTTGTCTTTTGAACTTTAAAAATGTAAATCAACAATGAAAAACAAATGTAAGAATTTTCCAAGTCTACACTGTTGAAAAGTAGTTTGGTATTTGCTTTAAAAATTCTATCCAAAGTGTGTAAAAGTGTGTACCTCCTAGAAAGCCCTTTAGTCTAAGCAAAGGCTTACCTAGTTTACGAGTGCTGCTACCTGGGTAGAGGAAAGACTTGGATGCTATGGGTTCTTGTCGATATGCAGTGTAATTCTTGCGCAAATCCCATACTTTAATTATCCTAAAAGACAAAGTAAGTTATATTGTAGACCCTCTCTCAATTCCAACCAGCTTCAACTCCACTGAATGTGCAAAGACTTTTAATCAAATTCCTCTGCACATCAAACAGATACAGTGTGAGGACGTATCATTGGGAAACCGATCAAATGATCTCATATTGCTTTCAACAATGTCAGGCTTCCAGTCGCCACAGAAGGGAAACAGATGGGATTTGACCCAGTGATAGGTTGCCCTGAGTTCATTCCAAGAGAGCGGAAAAGGAAGATGGAGGCCGAGTGCTGATAGTCACGGTTCCATTGTTTGTAGAAAAAGCATTTCCTAAGCCTTTGATACTCTGCATGGACATCATAAGTAATGAGCCCATCCCTAGAGTATGTCTTTAAGACAGACTAAAACTTTCCTGTATATTGGAGAAAAGCATGTTTCCCGTTGATCTATTGGGTAATTGTCTTTATCCTGGCCTTCTACAGTTTATAGGCAACTTAAAGAACTTTGTGTAAAAGTCTGGCATCCTTGAGAAAAATACCAGAACAAGCTTTCACAGCTATTAACAAGCATTCCTGATAGCCTTTGGGTTATCCTTCCTTCCTGTGTGAGGCTTGGCCTCCAGAAGGGCTTTAGTGTCCCAGGGATTTAACCGAAGGCCACAGTAAGCTGTCATCTTCTTAAATGAAGTTTTGGAAGGAGATTTATCAGTCAAACAGGACAGTTAAAAGGCAAGGTTTAAAAGAAAAATAATTAAAAAGCAAGCGTCCCCATGCTCAAAAGACAAGACCATCGAACAAAACTTGCCACAGACTGATTTACAACCCACATTTTCAGGCCAATCATGGATGGAAGGTATGTGAATGTCATTGGGCACTACTATCTAGTTAGATTACTCCTGGAAATGCCAGTTCTATGCCCAGAATAAGACTCTTTCTCTTAGGATACTCTTGAATCAGAAACAAGAAAATCTAAATTGATTTAGTCACATAATAATAGACTAAAGTTTACTATATAAGGCAAGGAAATCATCTATCTCATTTCCTTCATACCAGTTCCTATTAAGACATTGTGCCATGCATGGCATCTATTATCTCATTTAAAATTTGAACCAGAGTCCTAGTTAGATAGTTTCCAGTGGGATCTGTGGTTCCTTCTCTCGGGTGGGGGTACTCACTAGGCTGAAAATTAAAGCACACATTCATTGATAATAGGACTAGGTGACTCTCTCACACATAGGTGCTGAAAGGGACCTCCACCAAAAGAACTAAGAAATAAACTCTTACCCATCCACGGCTCCTGCTGAGATTAATGTGTTCTCATCTTGAAAGAGGACCACAGTAACACTCTGTTGGAAATCCTAGCATGACAGAAAAAAAGAGGGAAATTCTAGCTTAGGAATCCTAACCTTCATTAACAAGAAACCACAGCTCTAAAAATGAAGGCATATAAGCATCAAGTTAGACTAAATGGTCCTTTCTCAGTAATCTTACTCAGATATATATGCAAGCAGAAAAGTTATGTTGGTTTAAAAAAAAAAGACCTAAACGTGATTACAGCATTGAGGGTTAATTTGTACTCAAGAGACCAACAGGCAATTAAAAGATATTATCTGAGCTTGCTGGTTTTATATAGAATCAGCCCTACTAATCAGGTGAGTATCCTTAGAAAACTCATTTAAGGTTCCTGGGCCTCTTTCATTTCCAAAATGTCACTTTCTAACCTTATTATCACGTAAACCCCAAACCAAACCCACTGCCCTCACTGAGCTGTTTGACTGATAGTGACCCTAAAGAAGGGCCTAAAGAACTGTGGAGGGGTACAATTGATTACATGTGCTGAAGAAGTTAAAGAGCTCCAGGAAGCGGAATTCCTGTTAGGTTCTCTTGGCTCAGAGCCTGATGAAATGTAGAAATGTCACTCATTTCAAGTCCAGCTGCTCTCTATATGCCAATCCTGTCAGCGTCTCTCAATGCTTTGTGTTGCTCAAGGTTGTGGTTGTTAGGTGCCGTAGAGTCAGTTCTGACTCATACCTTGCAATCTGTACTGCTGCAACTGTTGAGTGATCCTCAGCAAAATTCTACTTTCAAGTGATACCAAATATTCTACAGAATTTACATTGTTGAGTCTCTTTTCTTTGGAATGGCTACAAATAGCTCTTCTAGTCAGTTGACAAATAGCTATCTTCCAAATTGCTTGGCATGAATGAGCAAGTGCTTCCAGTATCAGTTTGTTGAAGCACTTCAATTGGTATTCCATCAATTCCGGGAGCCGTCTTTTTTGGGTGATGCTTTTAACATAGCTTGAACTTCTTTCAGCACCATTGGTTCTTGCTCATATGCTACCTCTTAAAAATGGTTGAGTGTCAACCAGTTCTTTATTGGCACAGTGAATCTGTAATTCTTTCCATCTTCTCTTAATGCTTCCTGCATCATTCAGTATTTTGCCCATAGAATGTTTCAATATTGCAACTCGAGGCTTGAAATTTTTTCTTGAGTTCAGTTTAAGATATCTGAGTGTTCTTCCGTTTTGGTTTTCCAACACTAGATCTTTGCACATTTGAGTCTAATATTTTACTTTGTCTTCTTGAGTTGCCCTTTAAAATTTTGTTTGGCTCTTTGATTTTGTCATTTCTTCAATGTGCTTTCGTGACTCTGTTTAAGAGCGAGTTTCAGAATCTCTTCTAACAGGCATTTTGAGCTTTCTTTCCTTTCCTGTCTCTTTAATGACCATTTGCTTTCTTCGTGTATCATGGTTTTGAGCTCGTCCTACAGCTCCTCAGGTCTTGTCTTCAGTGTTGAATGCATTACAGCTGTTCTTGAAATGTTCTCGTTATTTGGGTGGGATCAACTTCAGGTTTTATTTTGGCTCCTGTGGATTTATTTACATTTTCTTCATCTCCAACCTGAACTTACATATCAGCAACTGACTATTCCACAATCAGCCCCTGGCCTCGTTTTAGTTGCTATCAAGCTTCTCCATGGTCTCTTCCCACAGATGTAGTCCATTGACTTCTGCGTATTCCAACTGTTTCTTCTCATTTGAGTCATGCCTCATCAACAAATGAAACTTCTGAAGGCTTTACTCCATCCTCGTCATTATGGTTACTATCTCTGACAATATTCTGCTTCTATTCATGAGGGTTCCGGCAACTAGCAATGTTTTGATGCTATCCAGATGCTTATTCAGCAGGTAAAGCCTATTCCTTCTTCATAGTCTGTTCTTCGTCTGGGAGCTGTGCTGAAACCTGTGATCTTGCTGGTATTTGAAACACCAGTGACATAACTCCCATTATCAGAGCAAGACAGTCTACCACAGTATGATACACTGACAGGAAAGTGATGGTGTTCAAGGTATATGCAGTTTTATACCTAAAGTTTTAGCAACGACATTTCCAAAGACATTAACTTGGACGCTACAAAACCAAGAATATCAGAAAAATACACTAAAGTAAGACCAATGGTGGGAAAAAAGTTAAGCAGTAGGAGCATTGCTTAAACTATACGTTGTTTGAGATGCACTATGTTTTGCCTAAGTGTTTCTCAATATAATAAATAATACTCTATGAAATACAAAACTTATGAAATATATAAAAAACTCAGATCTGTTCTGAAGCTTGTTACAAAATAATAGGGATTTCCTCCTTTGAATATAAAACTATCACGGCACTAAATATGCACCTTCAAGCTACTATTCGTCGCCCTTTCCTAAAGATGTATATGTGAGGATGCAAAGTTGTCAGAAATTAAGTGCCCCTATCCCTGCCCTTTCTATACTACTGAAAATCTGCCAAACCTTCACTGCAGTTTAAATGCCACTGCTGTTTTATGCCCAACAAAGTCCCTGAAATGTGATTCTCTGTTAAGATATCCATATGCAGATACATCTATAAAACCTTACCACAGACGGAGCAAGTCCTTTTAAATTCTGCTTCTTCTTCGGTTTTGAAGGGGTTTGCTTGTCTGAGGTATTATGAGCTCCACTGATTTGATTCACTTGCCTATAATATCCATCTGAAAGATATTCCGAAGAAATGGATTTAAGTTTCAGAACCTTGTACATAAACCGAAAAACAAAACTCATAGCCACTGAGCCGATTCTGACTCAAAAGACTGAATCCGACTGTAGGACAGGGTAGAACTGCCCCTGTGAGTTTCTGAGACTGTCACTCTTTAAAGGTGTTCTCAGGCCCCCAAATAAACGGGTTTATTTAGATTATTGAAATAGAAAACAGTAGCACCAGCTACACTGTATCTCCTGTGGTGATATTGTCATGGAGAAAAATAAAGGAAGCAGAAAGTGGCATAGGTTTTTTTGGTTCATGGTAATGTGACCTAACCCAACCCTTAAAGTCAAAACTGAATTTAAATTAAAACATGCAGATAAATTGCATTATAAAGCAGAATAACATGAGGTGAAAATGTGAGGCTAATACTTGGAATAATCACTAAAAGATTGTGAATTTAATGTGACTAACAATGGGCGCTTGGGAACACATGTGCCCCCTGGTGGTCATCAGATGGAAACACCAACCCTTTCATACCGGCAAGCTCACATTTGGTGAAATTAGAACAAGAACTAGATTTTAGAAATTAGAACTAGATTACCTTTTTTGTTGTACCTGGTGTCCCAGACCATAATATTGCCATCTCTCCCACCTGTACAGAAGACAGCTGTGGGGAAAGAGTTCATAAAAAGGTTAATAATAAAACTGGTCCACAACATATGTTTTCAATTTCAATTTCCTAGAGTATCATATGATAGATATTGAAATAAACAGTTGAGATTAAAAATAGTAACTACCAAGGGACTTAAAAAATTCCATTATCTTCTAATTCCATTTCCTTCGTGCCCTTTTTGAAGCCCCCTCCTATATGACTCCATAACCAACGAGAAAACAAAACTGTGAAAGTAGGGGAGGCAAAGACTTCACTCCTGTTGGGTACCAACTTTCCCTCACCATCCATGTTGTACCATCCTTTTGTGTAAAATGTTTAAACCACAACAATACTATATGTAATAAAGTTACAGTAAGAATAATGACACGGCAACAGCAAAAATAAATCAAGGCCTTGTCAGGGGCTAGACATCACCCTAAGGACTTTACATCCTTGCTATTATCCCTGATGGAGGTAGTATTATTTTTCCCTCCATCAAGCAGATGAGCAAACTGAAGCAAAGACAGAAGATACATAACATGTCCAAGGTATTCTGGCCACATGAAGACCAAGTCCATACTCCCAAAACTATAAGCTATAGTGTCTCAGTGTAAAACTTCACCCCACTGTGAAAGTGAATACTCCTGGGGATTGAAAAACGGGAATAAGATTGCAGAAAATATGCAGAAATTTCAGTTTTAGCTTTAACGTCATACTGTTAAAATGAAACAAGAAAAGATCTTCCGGGAAGAGTACGTTAACAAATGGATCTTCTTGCATTGTAAATTCTGGACAAAATGCAAAAAATATCCCCCAAATTGTCCCCCAAACAATAAAAACATCCTGTATACTCTGTAGTAACTAAATAATACATGCACTATTTTAAGAAAAGTCAACATTTGAAGCAAATGACTGGCCTGAGCTGAGTCCCTGGGTTTTTGTGGCGCACTGTAGTTATAGGGTAGCTACAGGTAAACAGCATCAGTACCAGGCAACCTACCACCCAAATGTTTTGAGAATGATGAGGGCAACAAATGTACATATGTGCTTGACACAATGGCTGGATGTATGGATTGTGATAAGAATTGTATGAGCCCCCAATAAAATGATTTAAAAAAAACCACCTACCATCTTTCAAGTGAGAGAAAAGAGAAACCAGAGAAAAGAGATTTAGAACAAGAACTGCCAATAGTTCTAGTATAACACACTAGTTGCCAGGAGTCAAAATTAACGAGATGGCAACTGGTTTTGTAATAATGTGTTTAAACTCAGCCCATGGTGAGCAAGACAGCAAAACAGTCAATATAGATAAAAGCTTGGAGATACTGGAGTTCTGAGGATACAGCTGACAGTGTAAGGCGTAAGATCAAGAATGTTTCTCAACCCTTAGAGGCACACTGATGGTCATTGAGGAACTTTTGTAAAATAGATGTGTGGTCCATCTCCCAGAGATTCTTTTTCAATTGATATTAAAAACAAACCTTCTCAAGGTAACCAATGTGCCATCAGGGTTGAGAAGTACTCCCCTAAGAAGGCCAGGTCTTAAACTGGAGGAAAAAAATCTTTATTTTGAATAAGTAGGTTTATAGGAGGAAAAATAAAAATTCATTTACAATCTATTTTATTTTACTGAATTCTTGATTGGAGAGTGCCCAAAGGGGTCACAACCCACGGGCTGAGAACCGCTGCTATAGACTACAGCTGGTTTCAGGTGTAAATATTTAGGAATGACTACAACTAGCCCAACAAAAACAAAAAAATAATCTACTACCACATACAATTCTGATTTGTGGTGATGCTATATGGGGTGAGGCTGCAAATCTTCATGGGAACAGACAGCTTCATCTTTCTCCCACTGAGCAGCTAGTGGGTTTGAATTGTGGTTTGCAGTTCAATGCTTATCTCACAGTGCTACTGGGGCTATACCCCACCTATGACAAAAGAATTGAACAATGACCTTTTCTACCATGATACGTGCAAAAAACACTAACATTTATAAGGTCCCAGAATAAAAAACCAAAAATTTTACCTAATTTTTTGCATTATATTGTTGAGTATTAATCTCATTAAATTAGGAAATGAAGGCCTAAAATTCTCACTGCCATCCAGTCATTGTGACTCATACCGACCCTATGGGACAGAGAAGCACTGCCCTTGTGGGTTTACATGGCTGTTAATCTTTATAGGAGCAGAAAACCTTCTTTTGCTCTTAGGGAGACACTGGTGGATTTGAATTGCTGACCTCTTGCAACCCACTAGGCCAACAGAAGACCTAGGGAGATAAAAATGACTTTGCTTAAGAGTTTAGAGGCAGAGTCAAGAATATAATATTTTGTTTTAATTTTAAATTGTTATAAGAAAACCCACCTCAATTTTTAACTTAGTGCTTTTGTTACTAGACCACATTAATATATATTCAGATATAATGTACCAGATAATGTGTAAAGGGACTAAAAATGATAGTGTTTCCATTACCCTTTCATTAGATTTTAATCACATTTTTTTAAGTGCATTCTGACCCAAACTGAAAAAGAAACCAAAGTCACTGCCATCGAGCCAATTCTAACTCAGCAATTCTACAAGACAGGGTTTCCAAAATTGTAACTCTTTGTAGGAGTAGAAAGCCTCATCTTTCTCTCATGGAGCAGTGGTGGTTTTAAACTCCTGATTTTGCAGTTAACAGCCCAACATGGAACCCAATACACCACCAGGGTTCCTCATTATGATACGGAAGTCCACTACAAAACACAAGCATACCTACCTTTATAATAATAGATGCTAATGAGAGTTATGACGCAGAGGTCAAAAACCATACCATCACGAGCAAATCCAAGGATAGAATTGACCTTTTTAAAAATTTCTTTCAAGAGCAGACCAAGCTTACCAAGTCAATTTAATACTCCCGAGTACTCACATGAACATAAAGGAACACATTCCTTTGAAAAATGCTGAATCTTTTTCAAAATGATAAAGAAGACTAGAATGCTTATCTGTTATCCGAGGATTAGTTAGATTAACTCAGTTTGCTAAGAAAAATATTTGTTGGTCTGCTTGTAAAAAAAGTAATTTAGTGCAACACACGAAAGAAGGAGACAAGGAAAACAAAAAACTCAAAGTGAAGAGCCCTTTCAGACACTTCTAGCTCATTTTTCACCCGTTGTCGTAGCACGGTCTCTCTTTACATCTCCCTTCTCCATTTAACAGTAAGTACATACAGGAAGATCAATGGCCAGTAAATAATAGTTCAAACAGATTGAAGTATTGAGTCATGCAAAGTAATTACACAGTAAATGTTTAGGTAGAGACCTAGGACCAGTTTCCCACTTCAGCCTTATTTCCCATTTACAAGTAGTTAAAGTAACTCTTTGTATAAATAAATTGAGGTAATGAATGTCCAACACACGGCTTTAACTTCAATGGATATTCAAAGTTGAACAGAAGCTCTGGAATTGTAGATAACTTCTTATCCTATCTGCAAGATAACATGAACAGAAATGACCTGGAGATTTTCGATCGTCCAATAAAAGTTGGAGATAATGCACACAGGAATGAGACTGAAACCCATCTTAGCATCACTGATGCTTTCAGTAATACCCAAGTCCAATCGATGTTGGTAAAGCAGCAGCTTTTCACAGGGGAAAAGGTGGTGACAATTGGAGCTTTTTCTTTTCCCACCATAAAGGAGATTACAGGGATTTTTAAAAAAGATAGGCAGAAACTTACCTGTCTGAAATTTAGAAAAGGCGACAGACTTGAGGCTGCACTGATGACCCCTACACGCACCCATCAGTTCACCGGTGTTGACATCCCAAAACCTGGCTGTTTGATCTCCTGATGCTGTAACCTTTAAAAAGCAGCAGGGAAACATAATTTAATAAAACCACCTTTGGTCCATCTTTACCCTGATCCCACCAAAAATGAAGTCACTTACAAGTTTACATTCACCAGGAACCCAGGCCAAGTCGAAGACAGCGTTCCAGTGAGCCAACCATTCTAAGCAAAGAAATGATCCATATGAAATGTCTAGGCTGTGTCCCGTAGCTTCATATCAACATAAGCAGTTGAAATGCATTGAAAGCCAGTCACAAGAATAGTGGTCTGTACCTTAAGAGAATTAGTGGACTAACAGGCCTCATACATTCATTTAATTACTACATATAAAAAGTATCATTTGCTGCCAAATTCCCTTCTATGAGTTGACAAGTAATATCGTCTCTAAAAGGGAATCTTTCTGAAACATTCGGCAGTTCAAAATTATTCACGAAGCTCTGGGGCTGACATTTAATGTCCTGTATACTTTGGTCTTTATCTCTGTGTTAAGACTTATCTCCATATGTGTGGGGGCTCTAAACATTTCTGGGCAGAGGGAATGAAAAAAAAGGGAGGGGATTTTCTCATCAAGTTTCTGAAGCTAAATTATCACAACCAATCTAAAAACCAAACCCACTCCCAATGAGCCAATTCTGACTCAGAGCAATCCTATATAGCAGTGGTTCTCAACCTGTGGGACGCGACCCCGTTAGGGGTCAAACAATCCTTTCACTGGGGTCGCCTAAGACCATCAGAAAACACATATTTCCAATGGTCTTAGGAACTGAGACACCGCTCCTCTGACTCCAGGCAGGTCCGTCCACATGCAGATACGCCCACATACCAGTACCCGGCGTGAACACTGTTACCCATGCTACACCAGGCTTCAAGACAAAATTTCATGTATTTGTCATTAGAAATAAGTATTTCACAATATATAATTACATATTGTTTTTGTGATTCATCACTATGCTTTCATTGTTCAATTTGTATCAATGAAAATACATCTTGCATATCAGATATTTATTTACATGATGATTCATAACAGTAGTAAGATTAGTTATGAAGTAGTAATGAAAATAAATCTTATGGTTGGGGGTCCCCACCACATGAACTGTATTAAAGGGTCGAGGCATTAGGAAGGTTGCGAACCACTGCTATACAGGGTTTCTTGGGTTGTAAATCCTTGTAGGAGCAGATAGCCTTATCTTACTCTCTCAGAGCAGCTAGTAGGTCTGAACTGTCAACCTTGAGATTAGCCATCAACACTTACCAAATAGAGTCCCTATTCCTTAGCATATCATATTCTTTCTTCTAAATATCCAGTTGCTCTACAGGGTTTTCAGTGGCTGATTTTTCAGCTATAGATTACCAGGCCTTTCTTCGGAGGCACCTCTGGCTGATCTTTTGGTTAGCAACTAACTGTGCTAAACTTCTGTATCACCTAGCGATTCCTAAGTCTTTGCTAATGCTTTTCATCCAAACTGGAGTGTACTACACCATCTCCATTGGTCTAAACAGACCAGCTCAAATGTTTATTTTTTCATGGAAAATTGTCCTGGCTGCCTTTACAACAGGTATTTTCTCACTGACACCCATGGTATTTTCTTGGTGCTCTTTTTATGTATTTATAGTCTTCGTTTAGTTACCAGTTCCAAAAGGTCAGCTGCTTAAAGCTAGTGTAACTTCCTTGCATGTGGGTGCTTTTCAAAAAAGTTCAGGTAAAAATTTATCTTTCAATTCCATTTTTTTCTCATGGATTATCTGAAAGATACTCAATGCCATATTTTCAGCAATGTTTTCTACAACCACGAAACCAAACTCACTGCCATTGAGTCAATGCTGATTCATAGTGACTCCCCTGTGTGTTTCTGAGACTGTAACTGTTAACAGTAGTAGAAAGCCCAGTCTTTCTGCCAAAGTGGTTTTGACCTGCTGATGACCATGTGGATCACAGCCGAATGCATAACCACTACGGCTCTTTTCCACAACCATAGTAAGTCACATTAAGTCTAAAGAAGTTAGCAATTTTAAAAAAAGAACTGCTTTCAATCCTAACACTGTGCAGATATTTTTAATAAAGGTATTTCCACAGTTAACAATTATTGACAGATAGGAAGCTCATGATTTGTTTTTCAGAATTAGACAGACTTAATCAGAATAAAGGTGATTTTTTTCAAATGACAATTTGAGATTTTATTAATAAAAAAAGTCCAAAAAAATTATAGACCTACACTTACCTTTAAAGCACTTGTTTTTACAAGTTTGTGATTTTGTGTTATATAGCCTCACGATGCCTTCTTCATTGGCAACTGCTAGTACATGCTCCATATTGGGAGCTAAATATGAAACAAACAGTTGAAAAATGAGTAATACAAGCATTTTAAGGTTTAATAGGAAGATATATATACAAACTTTATTAAAAAGATTAATGGAAAACTACAATGTAAGTGTCAAGAGTCCATTTAAAAGTAGGGAAGATTTTACCCAAATATCTGAAATGGGAAGGAAGGCACTTGAATGGAGCTTTGCTTAAAATTTGCCATAATGCCAAATTTAGCAAATGACTCAAAAGTGCCCAAATTACCTTCAGATAATTTCTTACTGAGGGAAGGCAGAATCCAGGATGACATGCAAAAAAAAACCACAAGGCCTGGGCCCATGGCAAATGAAGGGAACCATGATAAAGGAGGTCGCCAGCAAGCTGCAGCCAGTAGTTCTTTCTTCAGCCTTTTATACTTTCCTACTCAACAGTGGAGTCAAGTACTTTAATTTCGGTTCTAATGCTCCCCAGTGGGTCACAGAAAGACTAAACTCAACGAAATGAGAAGGTTTCTAGTACTTTCCTAAGAGATCTAAAGGACTATCTACTGAGCAAAAATAGTTGTCATGATGGTTTAACTTTTGCAGCTCTTCCCCTATATCCGTTTCCAGATAATGGTGTTATAATAGTCTTGGTGCTTTATCGATATCCTAGTATGTCCTTTTAAGTGTGAGACATGATTATTTCTATCCAAGTCTAGCCTAGATAGTAATTCCCTTACCTGTAGCGAAGGTGCAGCCAAAAGGAGGAACGGGGACTCCTGTTTCTCCATAAGAAATATATTCATCACCATAACTGCATTGATAAGCAGTAAGAAGGGACTGCAGAGGATAATGCGAAGACCAACCTAAAACAATACACAATTCCTTATAGAATTCCAACATAGCATCACATGTCAACACTTTTAACAAATGCATAGGTAAATAATTGCTTCCTAAAGACTTTTTATATACAGTAGTCACTCGCAATGGCCCTCTAGTATGCATGGTTTCTAGCTCTTTCTTCAGAAGTCTAAGAAAGAAGTGAAAGAGCACTGCCTACTGCTACAGAAGAGTAGCTTTGGGCTTCCCATAAAAGGAGACTCTAATACTACCTGCCATAGAGTGGTATTTTCAGCTCCTAAAAACTCAAAAGGGACAGAATAGAACTGCTTCTTAGGGCTTAGAGACTGCATCTTTACAGGAGCAGACAGCCTCATCTTTCATCCAGGGCTTACTGGTGGGTTAATCCACCAACCTTGCCGTTCGCTACCCAGTGCCTAACTCACATTACCACCAGGGTTTCTGCAAGAAACAAACAGCCTTTGCACATGAAAAGATTCTCTCTTCCTACTATGGATTGAATTATGTACCCTCAAATATGTGTCAATGCAGTTAGGCCTTGATTTTCAGCATCATGTAATTATCATGTAATTTTTTGATGATAAAATTATCCTCTGTGGTGCAAATCCTAACTTCTATGATATTAATGAGGCAGGATTAGGATTATTAACGAAGCAGGATACAATCTACAGGCTTAAATTTTATCTTGAGTTAATCACATTTAAGATATAAAAGATTAAACAAGCAAGCAAAAGAAGGATGTAACTACCAGAATGAAAGAAAAGCCAGGAGTGGAATGCAGTATTTGTACTTGGGAGTCTTCATGCTAATAACCTCCTAGACCCAGGGAAGAATGATATCAAAACACATGGAGATCTCCAAGAAATGCCAGGCTCACAGATAAAACTGAAAGAATAAATTTTTGTTTGAAAAAACTATCCACTTGTGTTTCTGTTACAGCAGCATGAGAAAACTAAGATCCTTCTCCTGCTAAGAAATCACCATAAAAGGATTACTACTAAAACTGCCATTCCTTTCAATTAAAATACTGTTTGGGGAGCTCTAAAAGAAAACACTACTTGTTTTGAACATGGTTGACTTTCTTCCAACTCACAACCAATGCCCTTCTTGTTAGCAGTTGATACCTTAAGCACAATGCACCCAAACCAACCAAAGCACTGCTTTTGCATCAATTCAGACTCATAGCAACCCCAGAGTGGATCTGCCCTGCAGGGTTTCCTCGGCTACAAACCTTTACACCAGTAGAATGCCACCTCTTTCTTCCATGGAGCAGGGGGTGGATTTGAATCGCTTATCTTTTGGTTAGTAGCCAAGCATTCAACCATAGAATCACTAGGACTCCTTACATCAATAGCACTACTACATAGTTTTCTTTTTAAAATCATTTTATTGGGGGGCTCTTACAGCTCTTAAAGCAATCCATACATTCCTTGTGTCAAGCACATTTGTACATGTGTTGCCATCACCCTTTTCAAACATTTTCTTTCTAGTTGAACCCTTGGTATCAGTTTACGTTTTTCCTCCCTCCCCCACCTTCCCACCCTTATGAAGCTTCAGACTTTTCAATTACTAGCTGTCATACAAAATCCACTGGTCAAAAATTAATGTATGCCTCTCTCTTGCTCTCTCTCAGCCTGTGCTGTATGCAGACCTGGCTGTTGAGATCACAGCCGTCCAGAACAGGCACGGAAACCTGAGTCATACACAGGAGGTACACAGCGTGGGAGAATCCTTCTCTAAGCCAAGCCCAGAAACGAATGCCCAGGGTTGTAGAAGGCTGGTGGAGTAGTGGTTAAATGTGTAGCTGCTAACTGAAAGATTGGTGGTTCAAACCCACCATCCCCATGGCAGGAGAAAGACAACACTGTTTGCTCCCATACACATGGTTGCTCTTGGAAACCTTATTAGGCAGTTGTACTGAGGGTCACTATGGGTTGGAATCCACTTGACGGCACTGTTTTGTTTTTGTTTTAATTCAAAGAAGGTAGGGTTGGTATTGTGGGGAACTGTCAAAATGTAGACGTATTCAAAATCTTTGGAGGTGGCATGAATGATTGGCGTCAGCCACTGTGTGATTTTTGTTAGTGCCTATTCAGAACCAAAGAGTAACAGATTGTCTTCTCTTTGGTGTGTAATACCCTTGTTCACACCCTCCTCTTTGTTTTATGAACATATACTGTGGTAGTTATAGAATCATTTGTCAGTTTGAGAGGATTAAGAGTAAAGGGGTGGAGTCTAGCCTGTCAATCAGGTCATAGTCTTTGAGGCCTGTGTGTGGGCATGGCTTTCTCCTGAGGATTCTGGGAACCCTGTATTCCATTTTGGAGTTGGGAGATACACTCTCTCAGCTTACTCCCTGGGAAACATTGCAGCTGACAAGACACATGTAGCTATGCTAGTGCCCTTAGCTGGAGGAGCCACGTGGAGACCCCTGCCACTGCTGAGATGCTTACACCGCCACTGAATCCACAAGACTTCCCACCCACAGGCCTGTAATCTACCAGCATTTGGTGTCATTGCATATGTTACGTGAGTCTGAAGAGGACTTTTATAGATTGGTATTGGACATATGGGGTAATATCTGATTTATAGACTTGATCTGGACTGGGCTAGGATGTTTTCTTAATGTATATAAAGCTTTATATAAAGCTCTTTCTTACACACACACACACACACACACACACACACACACACACAAATTAATGTATGCCAACATGCCTACTTATCCTAGGAACACAGTAACTGAGAAAAAACTAACACTACTTCACCTTTCCGTTCCAGTGTGCAAAGTCTAGAACTCTAAAAGGTTAACAGCACTAAATCGTAGTATCTTAAAATAGAGCAACTTTAAAGCAACTTGTTAGTTAGCTCAAGCTAGTAGGATCACGGAATTCTCTGGAGATGAAATTAAGCAGAGGTCTTTTTTTTTAAAGCAGAGGTCTTAAAAGGTAATTTTTCACTGAATGTTCAAGGTGAAGGGAAAGTTATTATCTTTTGGTCAGAGGTTCAATGTAGAGTGTGGTCCTAAATAAGCAGGTTTGGGGTATTGTTTTTATTACGATAATGTGCAGGTCAACACAATTTAAATATATGAAAGAAATATTCATTCGGCAAATATTCATTAAATATCAGAGGAAACAATGGCTTATAGTCTAATAAGCTGTTCAATAAATGAACACAATTACAGAATAATAGATGTGCTAGAGGTAAAGAAAAACAATCTGTGGGACACGAGAAAGCATAATTGTCCAACTAGGTCAAGCTTTTCCCTGAAAACAATCCCTCCTAAAAGGGAATCTACCTTGTATTCTATTGCTTACAACCTTGCTCATATTTTTCATTCTTCTTTTATAGAATACTATTTGGAGAAGACATCGTTGCCTGACATGTCTTCAGACACTCTAGTTGTGAAGGAAATCAGTAAAATGGAAGCAAAGAAATAGAATTCAGGTTTAGTACTTATTGTTAGGGACATTATATCACAATCTGCATGTCAGATTACCAATGCAACCAAGCCTTTAAAGGCCACAGTAAAAGGCAACACAGTACGTGGTAATGTTGTATACACTCACAAATACTTGTTTATCGAAGGAATTTTAAAAATGGCTCTAAGATTATGTAAATGTATACTTGTGGTTTAGGATTTATAATCAAAATCCATTCTGCAGCCTTTGAAGTTGGATGAGTCCCTGAAACCATTGCCCTAAGATAATCTTTAAAGAGTAAACCAAAAAACACCCCAACATCTTCTTAGTAGACTGTCTGCCTTGAACAGTTTTCTCTTTTAAGATTTATACAGGATCAAATTGACAACAGTAATTTGGAAAGACTGGATAGGAAGTGTAAGTTAATGGAGGAGGAACAATTTGAAAAAGGAGGCTGAAAATGATCACACAACTTGAAAAATGTAACCAATGTCACTGAATTGCACATGTAGAAACTGTTGTATTGGTATATGTTCTGTTGTGTACACTCTCTGAAGGTGATAAAGTCTGGAAAAAGTAATTCTTTATGATTATACAGTGTCCTCTCAATTCTGCCCCATTATCTACAGACAAAAATCCAAACATCTTTATGTAGTATAACATGTTCTTAGTGATTGGTTCCTGCCTCGACTGCCCACCCACTGCCATGGAATGAATTTCCTACTCACACCAATCTTATATACGATAAATCTTTATGGGAGCAGACCTGGGAGTGGCTGATGGGTTTGAACTATCAGCCTTGAGGTTAGCAGCCCAACGCCTAACACTCAGCCCCACTGGGGCTTCTTTGGTTCCTGCCTACTCCATTTTTGTACTTCTACAACACACTTTCCCAGTACCACAATTTTGGAATCCTTATTGCACCATAGAAGCCCTAATGCTGCAGATGTTAAAGTGCTCAGCTGCTAACCAAAAGGTCAATGGTTGGAGCCCAACAGAGATCCATGGGAGAAAGATGTGGCAGTCCGCTTCTGTAAAGATTTACAGCCTTTCTGTTCTGTCATATAGGGTCACCATGGGGCAGAATCAACTCCACAGCAGTAGGGATTGCTATTGTGCTATGCCATTTTCTACTTCAGAACATGTATTTGGAATGTTTTTTCAATTACTCTTGCCTCTATGGACAAATTTTCCATAAAGTGCACAAGGGCAGATTTTTTTTTCCAAGAACTGTCAGAACTTCCACAGATAAGTATATCTAAAACTGATCTTAGAAGGTTGTGGCTTTCTATTCCTTTTCCCCAGGCTCTTCATCATTGCCTTTCTGCCACTTTCCAAGAATGGGATTACCTTGCATTGACCAAGGTCTAACAACTAAGGGACTGCAAGAGACAAGTGGTAATTCCTTTCCTAAAGGCATCATTAACATTTTCCAAGATCCACCTCTTTTAAAGATGTATTTTCTATAAAATCCAATTTTTTCTTAACAATGATGAAAATGGCAAACCTACTGGCTGTTGAGTTGATTCCAACTCATAGGGATCCTATAGGACCAAGTAGAACTGTCCCATAGTTTTCAAGGCTGCAAATCTTTACATGAGCAGGTAGCCACAGCTCTCATCCGAAGAGTGGGTTCAAACTGCTGAACTATTGATTAGTAATCAAGCATTTAGCTACCGCATTACCAGTGAGTAGTATCAAAGTGAGTAGTCTAGATTGCTTGGATATATTGTGTAAGACTAATGATTATAATATTACTTCAACCCAGAAGGAATTTTTAAAATTTGGAACCTATGACAAAGAAATTATGCATTTAAATATATTTTTTGACACAGTAATATAATAGGGTGATAAATAAAAGAACTTTTGAAGCATAGAATTAAAATTACATTAAGATAAATTCTACAGAGGAAATAAAATGCAAATAACTTAAGGGGGAATAACTGTGTAATATGCCTAGCAGTTAAAGAAAACTTTGTTCATACTGCTTAAAAATTAACAATATAATTAACAAATCACTGTAGTATTTACAATTTACCAGATACATTTAGAAGTGGGACATTAACATTTTTATTTTAAACGGCAGTATTCATAATCTTCAGGACTTAACTTAATGATAAAGTTTTAGAGGCCAATTAAATTCATAGAAGAGTAATCAGTTTCCCATTTTAGAAAAATTTTTGGCACCAGCGTGGAGAAGAAACTAGAGGGGGAGGTGGGCAAAAGGCCACCTGGGAGACATAGAAGTCTAGATAAGAAAACGTGAAAGCCCAGTCGGAGGAGAGAACAGATGCAAGAGTGAGAAAAGAAGTGGAGTGGATGGTGACACAGAAGCCAGGGCAGATTCCAGAGATTTTTGAGAATCCTTTTGAATGTATGTCATAACCAGGAGGAGTCCTGGAGGATTTCAAAGTTTCTGCCTAAAACAGGTAATACTGTATAGCAATTTGGGGCATCTGAGTTAGAGATGCTGACGGAAGGAAATAGTAGCTGAGTGACGTTAACTATAGATGTAGGTTGTAGGTTGCAGGGGAAGACACTCTTCCCCTTTCACAGGGGTCGCCTAAGACCATCAGAAAACACATATTTCCGGTGGAACCAAGACAACGCTCCTGTCTCCAGGCGGCTCCGTCCACATGCAGATATGTCCACATACGAGTACCCGCCACATGAGTACCCGGCGTGAAGACTGTTGTGAAGACCCATGCTACGCCAGGCTTCAAGATATAATTTCATTTGTTATTAGAAATAAATATTTCACAACATGACATATTTTTATGATTCATCACTATGCTTTATGTATGTTCAATTTGTAATAATGAAAATGCATCCTGCATATCAGATATTTACATGACGATTCATAACAGTAGCAAAAAAAAACCCCAAAATTATAGTTAGGAAGTAATGACGAAAATAATTTTATGGTTGGGGACCACAACATAGGAACTGTATGAAAGGGTCGCGGCATTAGGAAGGTTGAGAACCACTGCGTAAAGAGTCTTGGTCACGCAGTGGGTTACACGTTGAGCCGCTCACTGCAAAATTATTTCAAAACCACTAACCCTCAGCGTGCAAAGGTGAGGCTTTCCACTCTGAAGGAGACCCCCAGGGGCAGATTTATTCTGTCCCTACGGGATGCCTAGGAGTCCAAATATATTCGATGACAATGAATTTTTATAGCAGCAGTCCCGGGGTGGTGCGCAGGTACTAATAAAAAAAGCTAGAGGTTCACATCTATTCAAAACTGCTTTTGAAATAATGGCAATTGCTAAAAATCAGCCATTAGAATCCTACGGCGAACCGTTCTACTCTACTATACTCGGCGTCACCATGTGGTGGAATGGACCACTCCGCCACCGGGGCTATCACGACCGGTAACCGAATACCACCGAACCCGAGGATGATCGCGAGCAACAGAGGGAGGCAGATGGATTGGAGAATCCTTGGGCCAAGTGTCTTGTCCCAGGCACACGGTTAAGGAAGAATGGAACTGGAATTAAAAGTCTTAAAAGACAGACCTCTGAACTGTGCCGCGATGCCGCTCATGATACCAAGGATCGGTAAAAAAATGTCTCCCGAAAGATCCTAAGACTGCGAGGTCCAGGGGAATTTGGAATGTAATTTAAAAGGTTAATTTAGAGGGATTAAAGTATGGCAGATCCGGAGCGGGAAGATCCTTTTCGACATCGTTTTCCTCGACCTTCCGCTGCTCCGATTCTTTCCTTCTTGTTTTCTACATGGTTTTCGGGGAAAGGAAGACCTCCTAGTACAGCCGACATCACGAACTTTTAGACACCCAAATCTAGCTCGAACTTCGTGCTGCCAATGTTTTTAACTTAAGGAGTTTAAAGAACGGCGTAGAACAAGTTACATGTCTACGCAATATAGAAAGACGTCGGCGTTCTACCGTTAAAATGCAAAAAAAAAATCAATTTGACCCCACTTCTGTAAGTATCGATAGTATTACTGCGCATCAAAAAGATGAACACTACAAGGGAACAACAAGCGATCCAAATTGGTGGGGAGGTGGGTGTGGGAGACCTGGTAGGGCAGGATCAAGGGGAACGTAACAAAGAGGAAGTG